CTGTTACATTTTTTATATCAATTCCTAATGACATTTCTAGATCATTTTATGATGATCAAGTATTTGTATCTTATAAAGATACAGTTTTTGAACCAAGTACTGCTATTCGACATTCAGCTGAATTTTTAGATGCACTTAACATCCAATATAGACATCAAATAATGCCATCAATTTTGTGCCTTTATACTGACGGAGGTCCAGATCATTGGTATAATTATGGATCAGTACAAATTGCATTGATATGTCTTTTTCTTTGCGGAGATTTTGATTTGCTTATTGCAGTTCATATAGTACCTAATCATAGTTGGACAAATCCAGCAGAATGCGTTATGAGTATTTTAAATCTAGGTCTTCAAGATGTAACACTCAAACGTGATAAAATGAGCTCTAAATCTGAGGATTTGTTTCTTACAGTAAATAATTTAATCGAGATACGTAAAAAAGCTCAAGAATATAGTAGGCTAGAATCTGAATTAAAGGAGAGTATAGCAAGTATCCAAAATATGTTAAATATGCGAACGGAACGACTCTTATTGAAAAATAAGAAATTTCAATGTCTTAAATCAGCAAATACGTCATCATCCTGCATTGATCGAATTTATGAATACCCATTGTCGTTTACATACCTACAGCTTTCAGGTATGTGTTATAAAATTTTAAAATAAATTAAAATTTTATTTTTTAAACATAATTTAATAATATAACAGAAAAAAAAATGCAACAATACTTCCTGTGAATATTGTAAACCAATCCGTCTTCCATTACATGAGTTTCACAACTTAAGTTTTCTTCCAGACCCAATACCTTCATAAGGTAATCTACTATATCACACATATAATATCAATTAAATATTAATTTTTTTTTATTTTTAAAAAATTTAGACAATAAAGATCATTATACATCTTTTCAAAATGTTTATGAAACTGAAACTACTGAAGAGTATAGACCAACATATATGCAATCCCAAGCAAATACAGAGTCTATTCTAAAGTCTATCTTGGTTGTAGGAAAAATCCGTGATTATATCAATTGTGAATATTGTAGAAAACGTCATTGTGTATATAATGATAGATCTTTGACCTATGAAGAAGAAGAAGATTATCAACAGGCATTAGAATCATATTCATATTCTTGTGGTGCACCAATTTTTCCTGACGATCATTATTTGAAAGAAATAATATTCGTACATATGCGAATTAACTGTGATTCACCAATTGAAATAACATATTATTCAAGTCGTAAATCAGGAAATTATTTAATTTGTTATTATTGTGAAGAAAGTGAAGGTTTGGTGACTCCTTCTCAATCTTTAAAAGAACGTTTTAAACAAATTTATCCATTATGTGAAGAATGTCAAAATAATCAAAAAGAATTTCATACTAGAACAGAAATTAAAACTAATGGGTGTTCTTTTAAACGTCATAAAAAATAATCAAATCATTTTTTTTTGTAATACAAATTTGGAATATTAAATAAATAAATAAAATTTTATAATATGTATTATTTTTGATCCCCCTCCCTCTCTATTTTTGGTTGACTTATGTTATGTTAAACAAATAATTGGTTTTATTTGGCCTTAGTATAAATCAATCAAAAAAATATTAATTTTTAAAAAACATATAATTTTATTGTAAAAATCTTATAATTTTCAATATAATAAAATATAATTTTTTTTTTATTATTTTTATATAGGCAATTTCTATTTGTACACGGGGTGTTTGAACATGGTATCACGTGACTTATAATATTACGTAACTGTAGTAAAATTTTATTTCAATAAAACAAAGTAAAATGCATATACATATATATATACTGTATATGCTATGAAACATAATACATCGCTAAATATCGTTTTGACATATCTTTGAGTAATGCTCATATTATCTACATTTTCTACATATTCAACCTTTCATATTGTTTGTCTCATCTATAACATTTTTGTCATCTATTATATTAATACGTACACTATCCTTTAACACCTGTTTTCCTTGAACTAAAGAAGTTTCTACATTTGATTTAAGCCTCTTTGGTGGCCGTTCTTTATGTTTTACAATAGCTGGGTTATTAATATCAGTCATACCCTCTACTTCCTGAATATTCTTATTTTACGTGTCGTAAATAAAGTCTTGATTAGGTTAACTAACTCACATTGCATATCTGTCTTAAATGCAAAATCAATGGCCTTTTTTGATAACCCAAATAATTTCACGTAGACAGCTTTACTTGATTTAACAGCTGATTGGGAACTATGTGAATCAACACAAAGTGAGAAAAAGTATTGAAAGTTGATACTTTTTTCCATTTCTATGTCATCTTCTGTTTGTGTTATACCACATACTGGAATGGGAGAATAACGTTGCAAAAGATCATTAGTTTGTATATTGGTATCCAAGTACAATCAGTTTGGAATTATGCTTATATGAAATGTTGCATGTTGAGAATATGCACCAACACAAAAAAAGTGTCAGCATATTAATTCTTTATTGATCAAAAGAAGACAAGTACATAAATGTGTTCCTTTATCAAGCAGAACCACATAATGACCTGTTCCTTGAGTTCCAGTTGCTCTAACATTCCATACTTCTATAATTGTTTCTGGTGATATAATTTCAACTAATGATCGAAAAAGAATTTGTCTTTATCTTGTTCCTATTCTCTAACTCCAACATCCATTTGTTCATTATCAGTTTCTGTCTATAATAAATAAAAATGTGATGATCACAAAATCACATAATGAAATATAATGAAACCTATCAAACCTAATGAAGCCTAATGAACTACAAATTTACTTACCTCCATTAAATGCTGCCATTCTATGATTCGATTGATATCATAACATACTGACTGATTCATCTGTGACCGTTGTTTTCCAAGCATTGTAGGTGTCAAGAAGTCTTTAATAATAGTATCAATTGGACCAAAAAATCGTGTATTCAACATTGGCATGCTGACTGTAGGTAAAGCATTTTGTTCAACTTCAAATTTTTCAAAATGTTTTTCATTTTTAATATGATCCTTAATACTAAGCAATAGGTCATACAGTGAGGTAGCTCGATCAACTTTGTCGTGTATATGTTTATTTATCGATTCTATTCTCTGTGTACTTTGTGCTCTAGCGGTAAATTGTCTGTGTATCCAAGGTATTGTCTATGATTCTTTATTAATATAAAGTGTTTCTGACAGATATTTTGCTGCTGCTAGATATTGTTCTATTAACTGATTCCATCAGCATTCAAATAATTCTTTGCAAAGAGAATTCTGACATATATAGAGCTTATGATGAAATTCCTCAAACTGGTTGCCTAATTTCCCTTTAAGCTTTTTTCGAAGGTTTAAATCAATATGAAAAATGTATAATAAATGATGGGCATTAGAAAATATATCATTAATTGATCGAATCATTGATAGATCTGAATCGGTAAAGACAACTTCAGGTGTAATACCCGTTTCAGTAAAAATATTATCAAAAATCCATTGGTATGTATCACAAGTTTCGTCCTCAATAATTAAACATGCAACAATTCTTGTTCTAAAATTATTATCAATTACAGTAATAACACAAAGCATCATTTGGAATCGATTGGTGTTGTAAGTTGTATCTAATATAACAACATCATTATATTTACAATACAAATCTCTTTGTGTAGGTGACATCCATAATAAAGAGATTAATTTTCTTGAGTTTGGTTCTAACTGAGGCTTTACTATCCAAAGTGAATCAGAATCCTTCCAATCTAATAATTGCTGAAGCATCTGGGAAGCATCTATATCTCCTGGATTGTTTTTCTGACGAAATTAATATACCGCATTATACAAATCCTTTTTATGTATAGGTTGGTTTGAGTAATCATGTTTAAGTAAAGGATATATATAGACCCTCGCCAAAAGTCTCCAAACGTCATTTTTCGGCTATTTCATACCAAATACATCATATGACTGTATAATACTGCAGTCATGTAATGTACCTGACCTTTGTTTGCTTGAATCAAAACCAAATAAAAGCGTATTTGATTTGTTTATTTTGATTTTTAACCAAAATAAAATTTATCTTCTGAAAACTACGAAAATGTTCAAAGAACAACGTGGCGGTATATATTTTATTGTCAACGTGGCGATAGTTATCAGGCTATTGCCGCAAATATCGGTTGTAGATTTTTAACAGCATTTAGAACTTTAAAAAGAATGGATGACACTGGAATCGTTAATTCGAGGCTTCGTTCTGGTCGACCATCCTTAATTAAAGATTCGCAGCAAAGCTGGCTGAAGCGATTTGTCATAGCGAATTTGGGCTATGATGAAGCAAATAAAGGCCTGACTAAGTACTAATTATTTAGTACCAAATGTGTAGCATATCATACATTAATAAATAAATTAATAAATTTTTTTAATAAACTTTAAAATTTTAAGTTTTATATTGAGTCAAAAAACGTTCAGAGACTTTTGGCGGGGTCTGTAGATCCTGAATCCATTCGACCTTAAGTAACATATTTCTCTATATCTACTAACATTTCAGAGGTTAACTTACGAAAGCGTAGTGCTATTTCATGAATTGCTGGAGTAAGAGGATGATTATGGGTGTTATTGAATGTATTAATCTTTATAACACTACTTATTTTTGGATAGGTAATATTAACTCTCCAAGGACATTGAATTCGTAAAGAATTAGCATTATGACGTTTAATTGGATCTGAGCTGACTTATGGATTATGAGAGCTAGACTTGATATATTCATATGTAACCCTTCATATTATTCCGCTTTGATCCTTTTTACTTGTTCTAATCTTGTGATCAAAGCCTTCTTTTAATGCAAAATTATTTATCCAGATTCTGAAATCGTCTCAACTTGTAAAAGTAAGATCAGATATCAATTCTAAGGATTCTAGTAGATTATCTTGTGAAGGGTTATTAAGTATTAGTGAACTTGGATCAGAAGGCTATTAAGAAATACAAATACTTGATTAGCTAATAAAGATACTTGGATATTTGTAAGTAATATTCATTCATCTTAAAATACTCACAGCATTTTGAATATCATTTTGTAAAGTGTTATTAGATAAGGGTAAGTTTGACTTAATAGAATAGAATATAAACTCATCATTTAGTAACTAACAAAGAACAATACAAAGAAAACAAAACATATAACCAACATTTATTCTATGATGTGATGGAGTAGCAAAATCATCTATCGTGACTATAGTATTTTGAACCATCTTTACAAAATGTAATATAATGAAAACAAATAACAAAAAGAAAAGAATTGATTTTGATCCTATTGTTCTTATTTGATTATTATAAATTTATTGCAATCATGACGTCATAACTTATGATCACATGATAATACGCGAAATTTATTATAAATATGTAATATCATAAACATGTGATATTATAAGTCACGTGACACTGTGTCCAAACACCCCGTGTAAACTTAGAAATATTCTTTTATATATTATTAATTAACAATTCCTTATACATCATTTTTTATAAAAAAAATGCTAAAAAAAAATTCCTTATAAAATATAAGGAAATGTATTACCAAAATTTCAAAAAACATATACAAAACTTATTTATAATAATGAAAAAACGTATGCAAATTTTTTATAGAAATGTCTGATTTGTGGATTTCTTACTGATGCTGATTCAGAGTATTGCACTAAATATTATTCCAAATATTCTGCAAAGTATCATACAATGAATTATCAAATAAGACAGAAATATGAGGCTGTTACCCTTTAACCTGAAATCTCCTTTGAATTATCTGCCGAAGAGTGAGCAAAAAATATTATTCCTTTTATTAGTCAATTATTATATAAAATTTTGGCAAAATCCTACGCTTAAAAAATATGTGATTATGTATCCAGTGTATGAAATTTCAGTCAAATGCTTATTACGCAGTGCGCAAAAAAAAATCACGTGCAATTTGTAGAAAATCAACCCAATTTGTACACTTACGCAAATATTTCAAATATGTTTTTGCGCAAAATTTTATAAAAAAAATAAATAAAAATAAATTATACTATTAAATCAGATAAACTAATATTTATTTAATAATACCATATAATTAAAAAAAAAAAGTCCAAAAATTTTTCACTAATTATAAATTTACAATCCAATTTACAAATTTACATTAAAATAGAATGGGGTAATTGTGTCCAATGATTATATGCCACCTCAAAATCAAACGAATATAGTGATAGACCATTAATTAAGATATTTAGATGAAAATGAAGTATTTCCAATTTCATCTTATTTCGTAATTTGTTTTTAATTAAGTTTTGACGTGAAAAAACTCTCTCTATCAAAGCATTAGAAAGCGGAATTATTAAAATAATATGAATAATTTTTGAAGTATTAGGATATAAAGAAGAAAATTCTGTAGTTGAAAAAATTCTGAACCATTGCTCAACAAATTTAAATTCTCTAAAATTAGCTATGAATTGTCATACAAATATCTATTCCCTTTTTAATTCTTTTTTATCAATTATTAGTTTATAAACATTACCATTTTGATCATCCTTTTGGTTACTATAAAATTCTCCAATAATTTCAAATTCCTTTTCGCCATACCGATTAATTAAGGTTTGAGTTAAGGGTAATTGTTATGCATCAAAAATCTGCATTGCATGATGAAAATCAGAATCAGGAAATTTTTTTTCAATATTTCAAATTATAGATAGGGAAAATTGTGAAAAGGAGTTCAGAATCGAATTTAATAATAATTGATTACTTTCAATATATTTAAGTAAATGTTTGCCATATGTTGGCAGTGTGTCATTATCCTAATAAATATTGTTTGAATCGCAAGAATTGTGAAATTTAGATGATAATACACATTAGATAGCGTAATAAAATCTCCTTGAAATGCTTTGATTAATCGTTATAAGACATCAAAAAGGTCAGCCAAAATTTTTGTTGCTAAAATAAAATTCAGATCTAATTCTTCTAACAATTTTTTCGCTAATTCAGATCTATCATTATCAACAAGAATATCTGTTTGTAAAGATGTTATAACGGAGTTTAGAGTTTGATGCAAATTAGAAACAGTTTGTGATAATGACAGCCATCATGTTGAAACTAATTTTAATATGACAAGTTTAGGATCATCATCATCATCAGCTTAGATCATATGCAAATTTTTAAATCGATTATAAGATCTACTAAAATAACTATATAGCCTTTTTAAAGTAGATTCATATTTCCTAAAATAAGGTACATCTTTTGCTGAATTTTTACCAATAAGTGTAAATCAAAGTACTATACGATGAATCACAGTCATAAACAGATTTTTATTTTTTAATTTTGTCACTACTTCATTATTTTTCCTGAAAAAAAAAAATGTAAATATATATATAAAAAAATAAATCATAAATAAATAAATCATAAATAAATACATTATAAATAAATAAATCATAAATAAATTATAAAACTTACCTGTTATTATGGATGTTCTGTCACTTCCTATATGATATAAAGACTAAAATGATATACCTTTTGTATTTAAAAAAATCTCAATATTTCTCATAATTGAATTTACGTCACATTCTCTAAATTTATCATACCAAGGTATTGCAAAACTGGTTTATTTCCTACCATATATTTGCTTATTATCGCCAGATGTTTATCAATAGTAATTGTGGTACTTTCATCTAAAAAAATACTTCATCCAATACTTTTATTAATTTTTTCTATAATTTGACGTTTAATTATATATGAAATTGATTCAATAAAGTTAAGTCTAGCCTTAGGATTTTTGTATGTAGCATAATTAAAAAGAAGTAGAAGTTAAAGATAATATTTGTAAATATAAAGAAGGTGGTGAAACTTTTGTAGGCGGTATTTGATAATTAATTTCGTCGTAATTTTTTATTTGATATTCTACAAGATTACTAAAATCAGAATATATATTAAGTGCTAAATTTTATTTTAAACAAAAATATGCATTTTTCATTAATATAATAATTTTTGATTTTTCTACTCCTAATTGTGTTACAAACCCGGTAATTATATTTGATTGATTTGTATTATTTCTTAATTTTGAGACTCTTTCCCACTCCACTCAAAACCACTATGGGAAAAGTAACTCAAAAAAAATTTAATAACAACCCAAAAACTCAACGCAATATTCGTAGTCGGCCAGACTCACCTGTCGATGATAAATCTCAAGAACCTCCGCAAAAGAAAACTGCGACCGTTCTCAATTGTCCAGGCTCCACTGACACTGAAAAAACAGAAAACTCAAACGTCGCTTCCAACTCTCAAAGCACTATGGAAGTGGACCTTCCTCTTGCTACCGATAACAAAAGTGTCCTAACAACAGTCACTTCTAAACCTACAGATATTTTGGATGAGGACTAGGCTCACGACCTGACTGAAAACCTTGTTGGAAAAAATATTTCTCCACCTAACGTACTCTCCTTCGAACGTATCAAAGATGCCTCTTCCTTCTACGTTTACTGCACCCATGAAACTTTCCTTCCTGAAAAACCAAATAAGAAAATAATTAACCATACTTGCGAAATGTTCAATGGCATTGATTTTTCATCTTTCATTGGTGCTTCAGTAAAGCAAGACTCCTCCAACAAAATGCTCAAAATTGTCCGATTTGGCTTCTTCATGAATTTAGATGCCAACAAAGCACTTGTTGCTAAATTTCCCAATATGGCAGATCTTAAATTAATGCCACTCGAACATACTACCTTATTTAGGTTCAACCCTATAGTGGCGATCAAAGTAACAGAGATCCCCATTTCGACTTCTGAAAGCATTATCCGATTGACCTTTTCCAAATTTGGCAATATTCTCAGGTGTTCTATGATTACCAAAAATCTGTGGCAACAAGCAACCATCTCTTTTGCAGAAGGTACTGATATGACTATATTCAATAAGATTAAAGGTCATTTCATCCTTAAAGATCTAGTCTGTGTTCACCCCTGCTCAGCTACGACGGAGGAAATCCAACTTCGTTCTAAATTCACATTTAAACTCACAAATTTACCTAAAGATACTTCTAGACGAGAATTAGAACCCATTATCAGGGCTGTTAACGCAATGACATGGGTAGTTCCCAAAGCTCGTTCAAATTACCGAAACTTACAATACGCCTTTGTTCACTTTGCATCAGAGGAAGATTTATATGCCGCAGTAAATGGTGATCACATTGTTCTTGATGATAAAAGACTTGATTGGACCCAACCCGATACTAAACTATGTGCTCACTGCGCAGTACCAGGACATGACACTCGTTCTTACAGAAGAAAACGTGCTACGCCACAAGACCGTCAGACCCAAAATTTGTATCAAAGATTTAAACCTACACAGTTCAAAAATTATTCCGCTCCTCCCAAAGCTGTACGACCCATATTTATACATGATAAAGATACCGTGTTTGATCTGAAAAATCCTCGATCCTTCGCAAATTATACACGTCAAAATGTACCACCTTCGAATAAACCCCCTGTTGTCTTAGTTCACTTTAAATCACTTTCCAACGGAAAAGACAACAGAAACAAAAACAACACAAACCACAATAATAAATCATCTTTAGATGAGTCCATTCATGCAAACAA